ATTTGAGTATTGTGTTGGTTCATTATAAGATCCTTATATCATCATTTTGAATTGCATTCTACCAAAATAAAATTGATGTTTCACGTACTGTTAAAAATAAAACAGCCCCTCAATAAAATAATAAAAAAAAGAATAATGAGGGTAACAAATGTACAAAGGTGCTTTATACAATTGATATATGAATGGATTGTGATGAGTTGTATGAGCCCCCAATAAAATGACTTAAAAAAATAAAACAGCATTTCTATAAAATAAGTTTTATTTAGATTCAAAAATTTGAAAATTGGGAAGCACCACAAAATGGCATTTCAAAGAGGAAGCATAACACGCCAGAACTTTGTGCGGGCTGGGGAAAGGGGGAGGGAGTTTGAATGTCAACCAATCAGCATGCTCTTAAGACTCACCACGCATTTCTAATGACTGGGATACTCAACCTGCGCCAGTTCCTAGTGTTGCAGAGCTGGTTCTTGCAACATTGTGCGGGCCACCGCCAGAATACAGAACCAGTAAATTGGGTAACAGAGCACTCAAACAGCCGCAGAGATCTGGATCAAGGTCTGGGTGCCTGACTGACCTGTGTCATCCATGTTAGTTACAAGTGCCTCAGTTTTCGCGTGTGCGGTCACACGCGATCCATCACATCAATACTCTCAACTCTTCCTGTTTTCTCTGTTTCTGACTCATCTTTTTTTGGCTTTGTGGCAGTTATATAATCTGGTGTCAATTTGAGAGGATTACGAGTGAAGGGGTGATCTGGCTTGTCAATCAAGATAGAACCAATGAGGCCTCTGTGTGGGCATGGCCTTCTCCTGAGAATTCTGGGAACTCCTGTATTTCCTTCTTGGAAATTCACTCCCTGAGAGCTGCTCTACTGACAAGACACATGGCACTATGCCCTGGGAGCTGCAGAAGCCACATGGACCTACCCTGATGCAATCAGACCTCTGGGCTGGAGAAGCCACAGAGACCCCTGCCAGTGATGAGATGCTTACAACGCCACTGGATCCACAAGACTTCCCACCCACTGGCCTGTGATCTTCCTGCATTCGGCATCGATGCATTTATTTTGTGAGTTTGAAGAGGACTTATAGATTGGTATTGGACTTATGGATTTGATCTGGATTGGCCTGGGACATTTTCTCCATATTCAATTGTTCTTGTATATAAACCTTTTTTTTTTTTATGAGAAGACTTCATTTTTATTTTTTAAACCTTTCTTGTATACATGAGTGTCTCTGAATTTGTTTCTCTAGACTACCCAGACTAACAGTCTTTATTTTGTGTAAAATAAGTAAGTTTTAAGTTACTCAGAGTTTTTTATCTTAATAAATGTAATCCATACTTCTTTCTTGATAGCTAGTCCTACTTGAAATACTTCCATTTTAATTTTTCTGGTTTTTATGCCTGGCTGCCAGGTACAGTGCTTTTTTGGTTTCAGGAATGATGTTCTTGTTTCTGTTTTGAAAAGCGACCATTCTGCTTTGAATCCTACTAAGTACTTCTGCATTAAAAAACAGGCATTACTCTATTGTCATAAAACTGCAGCTACTGATTCCCTCTCCTCACTTTCTCCCCCTCCCCTTACAACAACATACTAGGGCACTATCTTTTACTTAAAAGGTCTTTTAACAAAATAGTTTAAAAGTGTAATTATTTTTTTAACATTTGTAGCACTTTTAACAATTATTATTTAGTACTATAATATATATTGAAAATGCACAAATCAGTAGTAGTAATTATTCAGGGTTATTCTATTTGATTTCCACATTTACAATCAAGAGTTCTGCTATACACTTCTACTTCAAAGTTTTTGCTTCGGTTTTCCTGCCCTCTGTAGTGGCTCTGACTCTTTTCCAGAGAGGCAGGCGTCCTCAGAGGGATTTGAACTCAGGTCATCTGGGTCTGATGCTGGTCTCACATTCCCTGTACATACCTCATACTTTCTCCTTTGGATCAGAAGCCCTGGTGGTGTGTTGGTTATGTTGGGCTGAGAACTGCATGGTCAGCAGTTTGAAACTACCAGCTGTCTCTTCTTAGGGAAAGACCGGGACGTTCTACTCCCCAGTCTCAGAAACTCCCAGGGTCAGTCCTACCCTGCCCGCTAGGAGTCAGCATGGACTAGATGGCTGTCAGTTTTTAAGTGTTTCTTCTTGGGAAACTTTTCCACTGTCGTCGATATCCTTAGGGCTCTGAATTCCAGGGCAGTACATCTGCCTGTGACTTTTCTTTATAAAATAGCCTGTTCAGTACTGTTCTTTCAGATGAAAAGTTAAAAATCTTCTCCATCTTGTGAAACTTTCTCCTTCATTTTGACAATTTCTTCTTCCTCTACTTTGTCTGACATATTGGTTGAATATTAGATTTCTTGCATCCATCCTGATGTTTGTTTTATTACAAATTTTCATTTTCTTTTAATATTATAAGAATTTTCCTAAGATTCATTCAACCTTCTTTTGCATTTTAAGTTTGGCAATCATATTTATTTCCATAAACTCTTATTCTTTGAGTTTTTCTCAGTCTTTTAAATCTACAATCAATTGATCAATTTTTAAATAAAGCAAAGCCCAACCCACTGCCACGGAGTCAATTCTGACTCATACCGACCCTGCAGGACAGGGTAGAACTGGCCCCGACAGTTTCCGAGACTGTAAATCTTTACGGGACTAGAAAGCCTCATCGTTCTTCCAAGAAACAGATAGTGGTTTCCAACTGACGACCTTGCGGTTAGCAGCCCAATGTATAACCCATAGTGAGCTCCTCCTAGTATTTACATGGATATATTTATTTTTAATGCTTCTGAGAATTAGTTTCCTTTTCTATTTTTTGTCTTTTTGTATTCCTTACCATATATATATGTGTGTGTAAATTTTTTCTTTGATATATCTAAAAGATATACATTCGTACACAAATATATATCCCCCCTGCCCACCCAGCCCAGGGTCAGATTTCTGCATATCTGGTTAATCCTTTCAGGCCATTGATTTTGTTCGTTTCTTGATACATTGGGATTTAAGAATGGGCACTGTGTTAGATTCTTTGGGTTTCCTCTGCTTTTTACATACCTTGTGAGGTCACTCCTGATGAGTCTTATATCTGTAAGTGGGAAGTTAGGTAGGACTTCTATAGGTTGACTTCATTTCAGTGGTTATGTGTTGGGACTGTGAACTGCAAGGTGAGTAGTTTGAAACCACCGGCTTGCTCCATGGGAGACAGACGAGGCTTTCTACTCCTGTGAGGAGTTCCGGTCTCAGAAACCCACAGGGCAGTTCTAGCCTGTCCTGTAGGGTCACTATGAGTTGGAATCAGCTTGATGGCAGTGAGGGTGTGGTGGTGGTGGTGGTTGGGTGTTAGCGGTTAAAGTCACTTAGAGGCAAACGAAAAGCAGCCTCAGAGAGAGGAAGAGTGGTCAAGAGGGGAGGGCAGAGTGGACACTGAGGCTGGCGGGGAGCAGAAAGTATGAAACTCCATAAGCCAAAACATGAAAATAAAATGACCTCTCTCAAGAAGTGGAGTTCCTTTAGATTTGAGTCCTTAAGGACACAGCCCCTATTATGGGAGCCTGGGTGGTACAGCAGTTAGTCGTTGAGCTGGAATCAGCAAGGTCAGCTGTTTGAAACCAAGAACCACTCCGAGGGAGACAGACAGGGCTTTCTAAGCCCACTGACCAGTTCCAGTCTCAGAATCCCAGCGGGACAGTTCTACCCTGCTCTATACCGTCACTGTGAGTTGGCATCTCTTCTCAGGCAGTGTCAGTTAGGTTGGAAGAACTTCTTTAAAGCCATCCTCTTTGGGGAAAAAAAAAAGGTTTGTAGACTCAGACTGTGAACAGGATCTCTGGTTCTCAAAACTCATGTTAGAAGCATTTCCTAAAGAAAATGGGTTTTAATGTTGAATAGTTTCTCAGCCTTGAACATAGGATTCTTTGTTCTGGAGGGCTGTCTGGTGCAGTCGGTTGTTTAACTATATCCCTCGCCGCCATCCATTCGATGGCATTAGCACCCCTTCCCGTCCAGCTGTGACAAACAGAAATGTTCAGAGAGTGCCAGCGGTGTCCCCTACAGGTCATAGTAACCCTAGGCTGAAAACCCTTGCTGTAGAATCTAGATGTATTCCTCTAATCAGGAATACTGTACACACGTTTTACTTAGCATTGTAGCTATTGTATATATAAGAAAATAAGACAGTGCATGACGGTAAAATCCCCTAGATACCTAATAGTCAAAGACATTGAATTAGAATTGGCATTGTAGTCATCATTTCCCACCTTTCATCAATAAATTCTGTTCCCCCTAGAGAGGGTGAGAAAATCATCCATGCTAAACATACTGAAGGTAAATACCACAAACCACCACTAAATGAGGAACAGCTTGAAGTCCCTCTAGCCTCTTTGTTTTGATTAGCACTTGGGTGTAAATCAGTATGGCTTTTGTGAAATTTAAAAGTTGTTTCATAGTTCTTTAAAATATTAACTAAATAGATTTCTAATTTGGGTTCGAGGTAAGGACCAGTGTCATTTGGTTTTAAAGGAATCTGGAGTTAAGCATCAAAACTAATGAAGTAGCATGAAAATCATGACTTTATAACTTAAAGCAGCGGTTCTCAACCTGTGGGTCACTACCTCTTTGGGGGGTCGAACAACTCTCAGAAAACACATAAATATTTCACAATATATAATTACATACTGTTTTGTGATTAATAACTATGCTTTAATTATGTTCGATTTGCAACAATGAAAATACATCCTGCATTCAGATATTTACATTGCGATTCATAACAGAAGCAAAATTACAGTTATGATCTAGCAACGGAAATAATTTTGTGGTTGGGGGTCACCACCGCCTGAGGAACTGTATGAAAGGGTCGCAGCAGCATGAGGAAGGTGGAGAAGCACTGAGTTCAAGGATGTCTCAGTGCACTGTTCACCAGGCAACACTCACAAGGTCCCTAATTCCAGCAGGAAGGCTAAGGAAGTCATGATGCAAACTTTGAGACCATGGATCAGTGCACACACACTGGATGATTAAGAGAACAGGAACAGTAGGTAATTTTACTTAAACACCACAGTAATAAAAACAACACAGAAATAGAAACGCTGGTGGATTTCCCCCCTCATTTTGATAAGATCATTAATACTATAGTTGTGGTACATTGTACAACTTACGGAATAAAATAAGCGAGAACCTCACCCGCTGCCAATGAAGTCGATTCCAACTCAGAGACCCTCAAAGGATCAAACAGAATGGCCCCTTCGGATTTCCGAGGCTGTAAATCTTTATGGTGAAGCCCCCACCTTCCTTCCCTGGAGACCTTGTGGTTAAGAGCCCAATGCATAGCCACTACATCAATAGGGCTCCAAAATAAGCCAGGGAGAAGCTGAAGTAAGAAGGTGCAGTAACTTTTACAGACATCGTGTTCTGACGTTCCGAGGAAGCTTCGTCAACCCTTCTCGTTAGAACTGACTGCTTCAAACAGACTCTTCTGAGGAAGCACCATCCTACAAGCGACTCTCACTCACTACATAGGTCTTAGGATAAATATGCTTATACTTTGACTGGAAAGTCACATGGAGACTATAAAGATGGCGATTGTGAAGCACCATTCGATGAAAGGTCTTGCCTTCCTGCATGATTTCTGCAGTATTTTTTTCCGTGGATAAATTTTTTTCTAGATAGTCCGAATCTTCCAAGTACAGGTCATCTCCTGAAAAATAAGAACATTTTAATTCCACATACAGTGTTATTTTAGAAAACATTCCAACATATTCTCTCTCTCTCTCTCTTTCTTGTTGCTGAGTCGATTCTGACTCAGTCACCCTATAGAGCCAGGTAGAAGTATCCTGTGGGTTTCTGAGACTGTAAACTTTTATGGGAGTAGAAAGCCTTATCTTTCTCCCATGGAGCTGCTCATGGTTTCAAACTGCTCATCTTGCAGGTAGCAGCCCAATGTGTAACCTGCTATGCCACCAGAGCTCCTTCTGACATATTAGTAACCTATAAATCAGTAGCTACTTGGATCTGTTTCATGTGCTTGAAACTGTTATAGTTGTTAAATAATCTCAATTTTATGAGCTTACCAACTTCTTTCTTGTATTTTTACATATTTTTCTCCCCTAACACCCCACCTCCTACCAACCAGCCAAGTGTCTTCTTTGAGAATATATGCAATTTCTGACCAGTATGTCTTCATCAAAAACGAAATCTTTTATACTCATTCGTGACCTTTTTCATCCTGCTCAATATTGATACCAAAGTTGGTCTTAATATCCATATACTTTCAGTCTTTCAATGTGAGCTACTCTAACTGTACTCAAATGGAGACATTTCATATTTCATTTCCACTTCAAAAACTGCCGAATTATCCCCATGTAGGTTGAGTAATAAACCTTAGCACTACTCTGTGGAGCTGAGAAGTGATGAAGCCACACAGGTTACCAAGTCCAGCTCCAAACTACCACAAATGCTCATCAACAAACCCTCCAGAACTCAAATACACCAAAAACTCCCAGGTTCTCATGCATCCAGAACTTAACAGGTTAAAAAAAAGTGAGATAATGTAACAGAAATCATTTTGTAATGGCTTGGAATTACATTCACAAAAGTGTGTGTGTGTGTGTGTGTGTGTAAAGTGACAGGGCACTACAGTGACATTGATCTTATTTCATTAACACCCCTCAAGAGCACTTAACACAAGCTGCAATTTCTGGCCCGGTGTTGGGTGATACCACTCAGTGCCTTCAGTGGGAATACAAACAATACTTTGCCAACTTACCTGGTAGAAGCTGGATTGCCCCATTAGCAGTTAACAGTGTGATCGGCATCCACCTTTCCCTCTCTTCTAATGCATGGTCCAGGCAAAATGTGTACAGGTCTGAGAGAGAGGCAAAGTTGGCCAGTCTTCTTATTTCGTAGAACTGTGGGGGTGCCAACCAAATTTCTTTGGACAGGAAGCTTTCTGTTGCTTCTGATGGAGATGACCACTGGGGGACACAAAAGCAAGGCTTCCTGAGGTTTATTTCACAGACAACATAAACATTTGATGTTTCTGAATCCAGAGTCAGTTGCCAACAGAACAAACCTATCTTGGAAGAAGTACGACCAGAATGCTCCTTACAGGCAATAAGGGCTAGACTTTGTCTCACACACTTTGGACAAGCTGTCAGGTGAGATCATTCCGCGGAGGACAGCATGCTGGGTCAAGTGGAGGGGCAGTGAAAAGAAGGAAGGCCCTCAACAAGATGGACTGACAGTGGCTGCAACTGGCTCAAACCTGAGAACAATTGTAAGGATGGCACAGGACTGGTAGTGCTTTTGTCCTGTTGTACACAGGGTTGCCGAGTCAGGACTGACTTGCTGGCACAATAACAGATCCAGTACTTAAGACTTAATTGGAGATGTACAATGAATCCATATACAGGAGCCTTGGGAGTGTTGTGGGTTACACATTGGGATGCTAACCACAGGGTGGGCTGTTCACATCCACCAGGAGCTCCACAAGAGAATGATGAGGCTTTCTGCTCCCAGAAAGATTTACAGCCTCAGAATCCCAAAAGGAAAGTTCTACTCTGTCTTATAAAATCGATTTGATGGCATGGGTATAATCCTGGGCTGATACCCTTAAAAAGCTGCTAATTAGGACACCAATTCTGAGACCAGGAAAATCAATCAGAAGACAGCACCAAGGAGGCTGAGTAGTTGGGGGCCATTTCTTGCTCCTGTAAATTATCGCTTTGACAGGCTGCAGGGACAAAGTGGTAGGCTGGGGCCCTCAGCACCCAGAATGCAGCATGAAGCGTGCCACATGTTACAACGGGATAAAGATTCAGATGCAATGGGAGCACCCATAGAGGCATGGTTCTGTCTATGGACCTGAGAGAGAACTCTATAAGGTATCATCAACCAGGCAGGTCACAACTGCAGTTCCTGTATAGGGTGGCAGAAAAATATAAAACAAAATTCAAAATCATTAAAAAAGACTAGTCTTACTGGAGGAACTTCAAGCCTAGAACTGAACTAACTGACATACTAACTGAATTAACTGACAAACAATAGCCAGCATTATGAGGTGAACAGTAACACCTGGCAGGTATGAAAGCCTTCAGCCAGCAGTTCTCAACCTGTGGGTCCTGACCCGTTTGGGAGTCGAATGACTCTTTCACAGGGGTCACCCAATTCATATCAGTAGCAAATTACAGTGATGAAGTAGCAATGAAAATAATTTTATGGGGGGAGGGGTCACCACAACATGAGGAACTGTATTAAAGGGTCACAGCATTAGGAAGGTTGAGAACCACTGCCTTAAGCAATCAATATACAAAAGTCAAAGGGAAGCATTTGCCTGAGGATAAAGCTCGGAAGACACAAAGGATAGAAAGAATAAAAACTTCACTATGGATGCTTAAGTAAATATGGTGAAGAAAGTTGATGGTGTTGGCTATCGAAAGATATAGTCTGGGGTCTTAAAGGCTTGAAGATAAACAAGCAGCCATCTAGCTGAGAAGTAACGAAGCCCACATGGAAGAAGTACACCAGCTTGCGTGATCATGAGGTGTTGATGGGATCAGGTAACAGGCATCTAAGACCCAGAACAAAATCATACCCAAGGTGAATGGGGGTGGGGGAGCATGGAGTGAAGACCCAATGCCCATCTGTAGACAATTGGACATCCTCCTACAGAGGGGTCACAGGGAAGAAATGAGTCAGTCAGGGTACAGTATAGCACCGATGAAACACACAACTTTCCTCTAGTTCTTTGATGCTTTCTCCCCCCCACTATCATGACCTCAATTCTACCTTACAAATCGGATTAGATCAGAACATGCATGCTGCTACAGATAAGAGTCTGCAACACAGGGAATCCAGGATAGATAAACCCCTCACAGCCAACAAGGAGAGTAGAGATACCAGGAAGATTAGGGGAGGGTGGAGCTTGAAAGGGGGAATCAAACAGAAGGATCAACCTAGAACCCCCTCTTAGGGGGGTGAACAACAGAAAAGTGGGTGAGGGGTGATGGAGGATGATGTAAGGTATGAAAATAACTTACCAAGGATTCATGAGGTGAGCGGGGGAGAGAGGGGGCTAGAAATGGGGAGCTGTTATCAGGGGCTCAAGTGGGAAGAGAATACTTTGAAAACAATGATGGCAGCATATGTGCAAATGTGCTTGACACACTGGAGGAATGTATGGATTGTGATAAGAGATGTAATAGCCCCAATAAAAGTATTTACAAAACAAAACAAAACAAAACACTTCAGTGCCATTGAGTCAATTCCAACTCATAGCACCCCTATAGAGCAGGGTGGACCTGCCACTGGGTTTCCGAGTCTGTAACTCGTTCACGGGGTAAAAAGCCTCATCTTTCTCCCAAGAAGAGGGTAGCAGTTTCAAATTGTTGACCTTGTGGTTAGCAGCAACCCACCAGGCCACCAGGGTCCCTATAGGGAGAAGGCCCAAGTGAGATAGAGAGCACAGGGAGGGCAGGGGAAGAGCATGCTCACCTCGTGGGGATTGTGATCAACGTCACGAAACAATGTGTGTGAAATGTTGGATGAAAATCAACTGGCTTGGTGAACTTTCACTCAAACCCCCAAAATAAGGTTTAGGAAAAGCTGGCTCTTTGAAAAGCTCAATGTCCAGTTGATTGGGACTCACGGTGACGCCATGTGTTCACACTCCTTCAGGTTTGTTTGGCGGTATAATGGAAGCAATGTTTCTTCCACAGCACTAGTGGGTGGGTCCTAACCTTTCGATTCGTGGTTGAGCAGACACAGTTTGGAACCTTATAAACCTGTTGTTAGTTCTCCACCAGTCGATGCAGACTCGTGGAGAGCTTGCACGTGCAGAGTAGCACTGCTCCATAGGGTTTCCAGGCTTTGACCTTCAGGTTTGGGTAGGCTGGTTTGAATCGCCAATCTTTTGGATATAGTAGTCAAGTAATTGTGTTTGGGTTGCAAATCTTTACTGAAGCAGACTTGGCGCAGCTGGTAGATCCAAACTGCCATTCCAGTTAGCAGTCATGGTGAAGTGAAATGACTTATGGCTCTTCTACCCATTGCCTTCTAAGTCCTACCAAGTGACGGGGTGGAATGATGCACGTACGATGCATGGACCTCTAACTCAAGGATAGGTCCGTTTGGCCCCTCCCCTGGATATGAGTGCCATCTCAAAGGCAGGAGCAGAGAGTCCCAGGGCCATTAAGAAGAGCAGCCACCTGTAAGCATGTGGGAGACCCCTGACTGAAGTGGTGGGGGCAGGAGAGGCAGCAGTGCTGAGAAACAGAGACCATGACACTGTAGGCAGAGAGTGGGCACAGGTCAAGGGACCCCATGCCGAGCATACAGTCTTTTGTCCACAGCAGTTTCTCTTCCCAGGCTGTATTAAGGGGCTCATGGCAGAGGACCAGGCAGTGTTTCATTTGGTTGTACATCGAGTCACTATGAGTTGGAACCGATTCAACTGCATCTAAACTGCTCGGCATGGGGTCCCTTGACCTGTGCCCACTCTCTGCCTACAGTGTCATGGTCTCTGTTTCTCAGCACTGCTGCCTCTCCTGCCCCCACCACTTCAGTCAGGGGTCTCCCACATGCTTACAGGTGGCTGCTTACAGGTAGTATGGCTCCTCTGGGTTTCTGAGACGGTAAACCCTTTCTTTATGGGAGTAGAAAGGCCCATCTTTCTTCCTTGGAGTGGCTGGTGGTTTCAAACTACTGGCCTTGTGGATCACAGGCCAACACACTGGGGCAGTTATACTGTATGCTATAGAGTCACTACGTATGAATAAGGACCACGGAACACCACCACCACTGCACGTTGCTGTGGGAGTTAAACTAGTTAATAGACAAAGCACATGTGAAAGCATCTACATCACCATCCTACAAAGAAGGTTCTGGGTTCTGGTTTGGGCCACACCTGTGTGGGAGTGGAGACTTGAGAAGTAATGTGCATGTGCCTTGAACCGTGGTATTTTCTCTCATACGACTGCAAAAGGCTAGACAAAGAATAAAGAAGACTAAGAAAATACATGTGAATTATGATGTTGGAGAAGAAACTGAATGTAGCACTGACGGCCATGTATTTTGGAAGAAGAAAGTTCAGAATGCGCCTTTAGGAACAAGGAAGGCACAGCTGGCAAGAGCTCTTTGTTTCACTGTTATTAGGAGGGATCCGTCCCTAGAAAAGGACATCATGCATGGTTGAAGGGCTGGGAAGAGACAGACTCTTAAGATGATGAACTGAGACAGTCGCTGTATTAAGGGGCTCATGGCAGAGGACCAGGCAGTGTTTCATTTGGTTGTACATCGAGTCACTATGAGTCGGAACCGATTCAACTGCATCTAAACAACATGACCCTGGGCTCGTTGGCCTCGCTGGCATCAGCCTGTCCAGAGATTACCAGTGGACTTTTCGCCCCTTGCTAGTTCCTGACTCTCAAATTCTGGTTGTTCTCCCCCTGCCTTGAGGACCCCCTACCTGGCTGCTCACCACCTCGGCCATGTCCAAGCAGACGGGCGGCGGCTCTCGCAGGCAGCACAGGTAGAAGGCGGTGTCGAAGCGCCGGCCCCCGGGCCGGAAGAAGGGCGTCAGCCAGGTGCTCCAGTCGTGCAGCGCCCAGATGTCGGGCGTGCAGTCCAGGTGCTCGCACAGCCTCAGGAAGTGACGCGGG